TTTTGGGGGCTGGAATTACCTGTGTATCTGTGTGCTGTGCAAAGCCAAATACATGCAAGTATTTCTAATTAGTGAGTGAAACTCATGGCTTAGCCACAGGTGCAAAACTCTTGGAAGTTTGAGCCTTTTTTAGTTTTGGTTGGCTTTTCTTGGGTTTGGAGGAGGTTGCAGGGAGCTGAATTTAGCCTTAATTAAAGCTTATCAGTAATGATTACAGTATGTGCATAGGTGGTCCCTTCCTCAGAGATTTTACAAGTCTGATTGTTTTGACCCGGACAAGATGGGAAGGATGTAGGTAAAGGAGGCGTAAAATATAGAAAGAAATATTGAGTCACACAGTGTCCAATGTCATTCTTTAGGTTTGATACAATCTGTTAAGTTTCTGTGATTGCCTTGATTTGTACCAGATGTCTGTAGTGAGCCATGTCATGACATCCTGCTGTTACCCCCTCTATACTGGGAAGAGAACAGGACTCTCTGGAGCTGCCAGTGGTGTGCATTAGGCACTTCCTTGCACCTGGATGAGATGGCAGGGATTGCTTCCTCCAAGTTGCTCCTTTTTGGAGCAACTGCTCATTGTAGAKGTAGGGCTGTGTTGATGTCTCTTTCACACCCTTCTTGGCAACAACTGCTCCAAGAATCCTCCAGCCACCTTCTCTTGAGTAGCCCCGTGGCTGGGAGCATTGTTAGCACTGTCTTAGGCAGGAACTTCTGCTTTTGATCCACTCTGCTCATTTCCCTGTCTATTTGCACCACTGTGGTACTACTTAGAGGTGCTTCCCGGCCCTGTTAGGCTTTGGTTGGACTGTCCGTGCTGGCAAACATGAGGAAAGGGCTGTGCCCCTTAATGCATTATGAGAATTCTGCTCTTTCTCCCCTGAGAGGACTGTGTCACTGTGGCTTTAAACTCCACCTGCCTCAGTAGTTTGCTCCCCACTTTCCTTTTAACTCTTAGAACCTTTTATTCAGCTTCACTGAATTATGAGCAGGGGAATTGGATTGTGTGTGCAATCAGGGCACACATGGATGTTGGATTTTTGTGTAAATATCTGCAAACCTACTGTATTTCCTGGTAAAATGCTGTGACTTTGACCTTTGGCCAGTTTGTAGTGCTCTTGCTGCCGTTTATAGAATGCAATATCCAGGTCTCTCAAACATATTGGGCTATTCCCTCATCTCCTTTAAAGGAGAAAATACATTCTTTTATCAGTGCAGCTTCTGGTAGTGCAGTGTAATTCCTGTAGTACCTTTAGATTGACAGCCAAACATAACAAATCCACCTAGATCAGCAGTTGCTATATTTTGGGTTTATATGCTCTTCCTGTGTTTCAACATCAACCTGTTCCTCCTAAGGTGAAACTGAAAGTGAAATGGTTTTGCTTTGTTTCATGCACAGTCATGTATTTTCTCTTAGAGAAAAATACGCTTTTTCACTGTGCTTGTAGAGCTACAGCTAAGAGAGCCCATAGGTGTTGAGCGTGCTGAGGCATCTCCTGTTTGCCTGGCACTAGGAAATGTGTGCTCCTGGAGGCAACTATCTGCAATTTTCCTGTCAGTTTCCAAATGGCTCCTGCAGTGTTTCTTTGAGAGAATTTTCTTAGCTCTGTATCATTGTTAAAGGTGTTCAAAAGTGATGATCCTTTCTTTCTGCTCACAGTGTATGAGRTGCTGCTGTCAAAAGGCTTTGATCAGGATTATGAATGCTGCTTTGGGTTACCATCATTTTTGGCTGCCTGGTTTAGGCACAACTTTCTCTTTAAGTTTCTTGAGGATTTCTGGGTTCCTATCATAATTGATTGCTTCAAGATTATCTTGATTTCTCTCTTTTTTTTTTTTTYCTGGCTTCATCAGTTTTACTGTTGTGATGGGAATGGAGGTTGCAGTGCAACACAGTGGGATA